CACCCAGGCTGGAATGCAATGACACAGATCATAGCTCACTGCAGCCTCGAACACCTAGGCTCAAGCAATCATCCCACCTCAGCCTCCCAAGCAGCTAGGACCACAGGTACACACCACTGCACCTGGCTGGTTATTTTCTTCTAGTCTTTTTCTTTGCCTCTAGCATACACCTTCTTTCCAAATCCTTTTTTTCCCCTACTGAGCTTTATACAGAGCATTCCCCTGTGCCATTAAAGACTCTTCCAAGGCTTAGTGGCTGCAGCTCCCTGCCACCATGCACACACCGCTGGCCCAGGCAGCCTTCCTTCTGAGGTTCACCTTCTGAAGTAGGGGTTCCCCACCTCACCCACACTAGTCTGCGCCTGTTTGTTCTATATCCCAGAATCTACATCAACACGTAGTGCATACTCAAAAGCAGAAACTTTAAATATGATTGACTTTAAAAAACAAAATAGTGACTTTTCCCTGAGGTTAAAAGAGGTGGTGTAGGACTCATGCAGAAGAGCCACAGGAAGGAGACCCTGGAGGTAACACCCTCCCTGGGCGCTCAGGGACAAACATTTTATGTGAGTGGAATCCTACTGTCCCATCCACTTAAATGATAATCATGGGTAAGCTCTTTTGATGGAAATTGATGGGCAGAGATCCCTAACACATATATTTCAAAGGTTCTCGTCCTATAATCTTTCACCCAGTAGCACATGGATTATAAACAAATAACTAAATGTACTTCTTGACTTGCCAGGGTAAGAAACTTCCAACCTAAAAGGAATTTGAAGATGATTTTGCTGCAGTAAATTCTTCCATTCCATCCATTCATTCTACCCAGTTTTGAAGGTTCAGGTTTCCCTAAGGTTTTCCCCTTAACATATACGCTGAATTTTCCCAGGCATGAATCAAGACAGAGAATACAAGAGTCACCACAGACAGTTCTTGGGAGGCCAGGTAGGGTAGCTGGTAGTGGGAAAGGGAGGACAACTCTAGGGCTCAGCACGTTGACCTTAACACTTCGGTGGGACACCAAGCTTAATGGAAACTTCTGCTCCAAAAGCCTGAAATTGTATTCAAAATCATTGTCAGAGAAATTTATACCAAAGCAATAGCAAGGTTGAGGCATAGGAGACATCAGAAGTTCAACAGTGCTAGAGCCATTTGGCAGTGTCAGCCAAGTGGGCATGGGCAGTGATTGAGGATGGGGCTGAAGTCATGGGAAGAGCCATCTCTTTATAGCTTGAAGGCCTTAACAAAGAGCAGCAGGAATAAATTTAACTTCTGTGTTATCTATCTTCTCTTCTGGCTCCACCTATTTCCCTTCCTCTCTTTCCTACCTCAGCGACCTGGCTGCAGCATGGCCCGGGGAAGCCACTAGTATCCAGGCACTGAGATAGCACAGGGCAAGTGGACTTAGATGCCTTGACGCCTGCTCCCAAGCGGAGGCCCACAGATGGAGCTGTCACCCACAGTGTGCCTCGGAGCCTGCAGGAGGGAGACAGGGCATGCCACGAGTGAAGACCTTGCCTTCACCAACAACTGTGACCAGGTAGTGACTTTGAAGTTCTCCCGTCTCGCTAGGCCTTAGTCTTCTGCATACTGCAATGATGATAGTTATCATATATAGAGGGATGTCAAACAAATGAAATCGGATGATCCGTGTAAAGGGTCTGGCACACAGTAAGCATTCAACGTGTGTGTTTGCTGCTAGTTTGACCCCACCGAGCCTCAGTTTTCCCATCTGTAAACATGGAAGTAGTAACAATAACTGATTGGTTTTTCTTTTTGTTTTCTAAAAACATATGACTTGATAAGCACAAAAGATTGTATGTCACATACACGTTAGTTATAAAGCCTAATAAAAAAATGGATACCCATGAACCCTCCACCCCTGATGCAAGAACAGGAACATGACCCACTGGGGGCCTCTACTCCTGTGTCCTCCCTGTCACTCCCCGGTTCTCAGAGAAAAATGATCAGAATTTTTGGGTTATTCATGCCATTGCCTTTTTTTTTTTTTTTTTTTTTTTTGAGATAGCGTCTCACTCTGTTGCCCAGGCTAGAGGGCAGTGGCGCCATTTTGGCTCACTGCAACCTCCGCCTCCCAGGTTCAAGTGATTCTCCCCGCCTCAGCCAACCAAGTAGCTGGGATTACAGGCGCCCACCACCACATGTGGCTAAGTTTTGTGTTTTTTAGCAGAAACAGGGTTTCACCATGTTGGCCAGGCTGGTCTTGAACTCCTGACCTCAGGTTATCTGCCCACCTCACATGCCATTGCTTTTTAAATACTACTAGTTTAATACAATTGTATATATGCTTAAGTGATATATTGTTTAATTTTGTTTGTACTGAGAATTAATCCTTTGTTGGTAATACAGGTTATAAAAATCTCCCAGTGTATGCTTGATCTTCTCACTGTGTTTATGGTATCTCTTGATAAACAGAGGTTCTTAATTTTAATAGAGCAAGAGCTCACCTCCCTGTGAAGATCAAAGGAGTCATAACAGGGGCCAACCTTCTCCGGGTTTGTTGGCATCTATTGTAAGGTTCCTTCCCCGCTTTTATAGGCAGGGCAGAGCCACCTCTAGGCCCAGCCCACATGGGCTGAGCATCAGCTCATTGTACTTCCTCCTTTCTGGATAGAGAGAAGGGGTCGGGTGGACTTGAAGTGGGGTGTTTCCCAAACCTTTGGTCCATGTGCCTGGCATCCCATCTCCATGGCAGTGTCAGGGACACTGGGCCCAAGTGTCCAGCTCTCTCAGCTGGGAACCTCCAAGAGAAGGGCCAGGGCCAGGGCCAGGACCAGTGCAAGAGGTTGGCAAGAGCATGGCCCCTGGCAAGATACAGAGCAGCTCACAGCAGGGAGAAGAAAGTGGGGTCAGAGAGTCCTGGTGTGGAATCTCACTTCTACATGACCTTGGGCCATGGTCTCAACCTCTCTAAATCATGTTTTCTACAGTATTTATCTACCGGGGCAGTTAAGAAGATTAATGAAAAGCTAAGTTGAGGCCCTGGTCTCGGTACTGCTGGAGAAATGGCAGCAGGGTTCCTTTTGCCCTTACATTCGGCCATGGACTCTCCAGGGGAGGAGACCTCACTGGTCACACAGGGGGTCAAGACCAATTCTGATGCTCTAATGGTGAAACTGATCCTATTCTAGGATTCTCTCTATAAGTTATAGGTGTTGAAATGCCTAGTTTTGAACAAGAAGAACGGGATGCCAGGAGACATCCAAAAATACATAAAAACATATGACCAGAATGATTTCCCAACACCTCTCACCATGCTTTTCATCTTGGAAGAAGACTGACTGATGTGTGGGAAAGCAAGCATCATGCGCTTAGATTTTAATGAAGCATCTATTTTCCCCAACACTGACAAGTTGCCAAAAAAGAAAAGGTAAATATTTTCAGTAGAAGCCTGCTGTTCCAACATGAGCTTTAAATGTGAATGGCTCTCTGGAAATGCCGAGGAGAAGAAAAACAGTAATGATTTCTCTAATGAAAAAAGAAAGGCCCATTTACTATAAAATGTCAGATATAAACTTGATTTGGGCAAATCGTTTTGGTGGCATTGATGGCAATGAGCTCCCCATTGTCAGCTTGCTAACAGACTGCTTTTTGGCATGCTGGGTTCAGAGCACAATGTGGCACAATGAACACGCCTGCCCGGTGCCCTCTAAGGACAAGTCTGTGGGTGTGAGGCAGGAGGAGTGTTGAGTAGAAGGAAGATGGTTGCTTTGGAGAACCTGGTGCCTTTGTGTTTGAGGGAAGAACTCGGGGTGCTATGGGAACCAATCCCCGCACTGACAATTCCAGCTGCCCACAGAAGCTCCATCCAGGAAAGAATCACACCACTTTGCCTTGCTTTAAATAATACATGCATTCCTATAAAATCTCCTAAACCCAATAATATTTTAAATGCCCTGGGAGAACTTGCTGAAATGAATGATTTTATAAGTCACTTAATTAAGTTAAAAACAAACAAACAAACAAAACCAAAAAAAAGCCACTGTTTTTTCATAGTGACCTGTCTTTCCTCCCTTTCCCCTGCTTCCATTTTTTTTTTTTTTCCCAAGACAGAATCTCCCTCTGTCATCCAGGCTGGAGAGCAGTGGCGTGATCTCAGCTCACTGCAACCTTGCCTCCCAGGTTCGTGATTCTCTTGCCTCAGCCACTGGAGTAGCTGGGATTACAGGTGCATGCCACCACGCCTGGCTAATTTTTCTATTTTTAGTAGAGATGGGGCTTCACCATGTTGGCCAGGCTGGTCTCAAACTCCTGACCTCAAGTGATCCACCCATTTCGGCCTCCCAAAGTGCTGGGATTACAGGTATGAACCGGCCTCCTGCTTCTAATGTATGTCTCGACTTCCCAAATAGCAGGCTTGTATAAGGCAAGGTGAACCTATCAACATGCAGCTGGCCTCAGTCAGCACGAGACACAGCCTTTCCCCTGAAAACTTTCTAGGAAGCTCAGCATTAAGAGCAATGGGAAGAACACACCCACACGCCCACACACGCACGCATACATGCACATCAATACAAGTCAGCCCTCCTGCCCGGGTGGTTAATGGCTGGAGGAAGGCAGGGAGCGGGACATGCCGGGCCCACTTTTGTTTATTGAGAAGTAATGTATTTTGCCTTCAGCAAATGAATGGCAATGCAGAAGCAATGAACAGCAGCAAATAAAATTAGACTGTCGCTTCCTGAGTGTGACAAATAGGCCTCCCCAACACATTTTGCTCATTAGCCCTGGGTTTATTTTAGTAAGTCCATAGAGAATTATGTTTTGTTTTTGTTTTGTTTTTTCAGTAAAACTATAGCACATTCTGTTCTATGAGCATCCATTCTGGGCCAAGTAAGGTTTCAACAGTTATTTAGAAATGCTACAATCCTAAAAGGTTTCTGTCAACCCTCATTATCACCTAAGACAATAGACACGACTCTCAAATTGCTAACTATGCCCCCACAGGACAGCCTTGTTCTAGGAACTCCAGGGACCTGTGGTCTGCTGAGTTGTCAAGGCAGATCTACGTTCACCATTGTGACATCAAGTGTGTGGGGACCCGCGGGGAATCACCAAGCCAAATCTCTTCCTACTTCCTGTTCTGTTCCTGATGCCCTGATGGAGCCACTCCACCTCCTTCTAGAGTGGAAACGCAGCTATAGCCAGCGGTGCCCCTTATGGGCATGTCCTGCACGCAGCCCTGGATCCAGGAGATGTGGTCTGTCTCAGGTCGGGTCCTGTGATAACTAAGACTGGCTTCCCCAGTCTGTGGTCCATGTGTCTGGCATCCCATCTCCATAGCTGTGTCATGGACACAGGTGTCCAGCTCTCTCAACCAGCAACCTCCAAGAGAAGGGCCACGACCAGTGTGGTCTGGCAAGGGTAGGGCCCCTGGCAAGACACAGAGCAGCTCATGGTAGGGGGAAGAGAGCTGGGGTCAGAGAGTCCTGGGGTGTAATCTCGGCTCTGCATGACCTTGGGCCATAGTCTCAGCCTCTTTAAATCATGTTTTCTATAACATCTATCTGCCAAGGCAGTTGAGAAGATTAATGAAAAGCTAAGTTGAGGCCCAGGTCCTGGTCCTGGTACTGCATCTGGGATAACTTCGGTATTACCCATCTTCTCTTCTGGCTCCATCTATTTCCCTTCCTCTTGTATTTTCAGTATCTGATGCTTTGACATCTGGGGCTTGCTGACCCTGGAGAGACTGTTCCTTCAGGGGCTACCCAGTGTCTCGGGATAGTAAACTACCCATCAGGAGTGTGCTTTTCACATGCAAGCCAACTAATCCAGAGTCTGCACCCCAGCCCCCTCCATCACAGGCTCTCACACACCAAGCCACTACTCCCCTAACCTAACCACCCAAGGCCAGGTGTCCGGCAGCTAGGGACAGCTCCTATTCCCCTGAGTCTGCTGAAATTATTCAAAGTAGCTGATTCTGAACTTGCCTTCTCTGCCTCACCCACACCTTCCTACAGAATCCATCATAAGGCCTCTGGCCCATGTTTTCCCCTCTCTCCTGCCTCCTGACGGACCCCAGTGCTTCCCTGTGTGGCCCTGCATGCAGTACTGGGACACATCCTCTTGGGAACTGTAACAAACCACCTTTTCAATGCATGGCAGTGGTCTCCTCATCAGCTGGCCTTGCCAAACCTAAATAATAAGGAAAACGATTGTATATATTTAAATAGATCTCTCTTTGATAATTGGGTCCTGTTGATTCTTCAAAGAACAATATAAAACTGGAAAAGCCTTAGCCATGATCTAGAGATTTGACATCTAGGCTGACCCTTTCATGGTCTTCCTACTAGGGAATGAGGGCTGGAGAACAGAAGTGCATGGCCCAGGCACTCACAGGGAGCCAGTGAGAGCCGGCAGCTTGGGACACAGGACAGGACAGCAGGCTTCTGAGCCAGACGGAGCACCTGTACATCTGCACCGCACATGAGGATGGCAAGGAACCCCAGAGGAGGCACACGTGCAAAGAAAGCAAACCCATGTCCTGAATGGACCTCTGAAGGAGACACAGCCGGTGAAAAGGAGACGCTCACGCCGCCATGAACAAAGGCCACCCTGGAACTTGTTTCTAAGACTTAGCATGCTCTCTTCCTGTCTCTTTGCTTCTTTCTTATGTACACCCAGGAAGAAAGCCTCTCAGCAGCCATCTCGGGAACCCAGATCTGTGCAGTCCACAGCATTCGAGAGCCAGCCTCACCCATCCTCTGCCTGTGTCTGCAGGAGGGCAGCCTGGGGAGGGCATGGCCACCTGGGAGACACAGGGCAGAAGGGGCTATGCCAGCTCTTGTCCATCTCCTCCTTCCTATGGCTCCTGCTTAGCCTGGGGATGCTCAGATCTAGCAGGCAGGGGCCTTGGATAAGGATGTGTTGGGGGGAGGTGAGGGACGAGGAAGTGGGGAACCCCCGCTCCCTGACAGCACCAGCTCCTAACATTCACCAAATCCCCCCAAACCCCCCAGTGCATTTTAAATCCTCTTGCAGTTGAAAATGCACTGGGAACCTTTGAAGATTAATCTACAGCTTAAACCGTTCTCTTAAAATGCTCACAAGCCTAAACTGCTTAATGGAAACACTAATGAGACTGAATTCTGTGACTCAGAATTAACATAATTAACCAATTTATGGGCATGGATTAATTTAGCTGTTATGTACTTAACATTTTTGTGTTTATGAAAGGAAAAACAGGATTCAGTTCCCCAATCAAAATATGGAGCAAAAACGCCAACAGGAATCTGGTCGCTGCTGTTTACTTTTCCTTCCCAGAAACAGGGTAAACACGCTCTGAAAAGATGCGCCTATGTCCGGGGGCCTGAGCTGGGGAGCTTTTCTGTTTGTCAGGTGGGAGGGCTCCCTGCGGTCTCCAGCTGCCCTGCTCCCTTGCTGCAGGCCCCAAATGCAGCCTACTCCGGATCCACCTCAGGGATCCTGCCCTGTGGGCTGGCAATGCTTCTCAAAAGCAGGGAGGCTGGGCACGGTGGCTCACGCCTGTAATCCCAGCACTTTGGGAGGCTGAGGCGGGCGGATCACGAGGTCAGGAGATCGAGACCATCCTGGCTAACACAGTGAAACACTGTCTCTACTAAAAATGCAAAAAATTAGCCAAGTGTGGTGGCGGGCGCCTGTAGTCCCAGCTACTTGGGAAGCTGAGGCAGGAGAATGGCGTGAACCCGGGAGGGGGAGCTTGCAGTGAGCTGAAATCGCGCCACTACACTCCAGTCTGGGCGACAGAGCGAGACTCTGTTTCAAAAAAAAAAAAAAAAAAATGCAGGGAAACTGTACCATAATGCAGTGTCCCACATGACACCCCTCCTGCCTTAGGAAAGTGTCTGAATCTTGTTAAGTATCAGCACACGTGAGGAACTTGCTAAAGGGTAGAAGCCTGGTAAAGTTAAAGGAGTGAGGGCCCCACTCACCTGCCCTGTATATTGCAAACTTCCCTGAGAGAGCAGGTTCCACTCTGGCCAAGCCAGCACACCTGGCTCCCCAGCAAGCTTTTCTAAGGATGCCGCATGGGGCACGAAGCCAGGAGGACCTAGTGCAGTGGATGGGCTCACATCCTCGGCCTGCATTCTAGGAGGGACCTTCACACTGTTTTTGTTTTTTGTTTTGTTTTGTTTTGTTTTGTTTTTGAGTTAGAGTCTTGCTCTGTTGCCCAGGCCGGAGTGCAGTGCCACAATCATGGCTCAGTGCAGCTTCAAACATCTAGGCTTAAGAGACCTCCCTGCCTCAGCCTCCTGAGTGGCTGGGATTACAGGCATGAGCCACCATGCCTAGCTAATTTTTAAATTTTTTGTAGACACAGGATCTCACTATGTTGTTGAGGCTGGTTTCAAACTCCTGGCCTCAAGTGAACCTCCTGCCATGGCCTCCCAAAGTGCAGGGATTTTAAGTGTGAGCCGCTATGCTTGGCCAGGGCCTTTACAATTCTGCAGGCCCCAGCAGGAAGGGCTTGCCATGCAGCTCAGCCTGCACTCACCTTGAGGTGAGATGGCAGTGGAGGCAGCCAAGTCTGAGAGCCCCCCACCACCAATGCCGCCCTGAAGCAGATGGGCTGGGAGGGAAGGAAAATTAGAGAGAGAGAGAGAGATGTGCCAGGCCAAAATTAAAAAGACAAAAAGGTGAACGGAGCAAGAGAGCAAAGAAAGGATGAATGAGAAGAGGGGCTATGTCTGCTGCCCTCTCTCGCTCCCTCCTGTGCTGCTCCCATTATCATAATTTTTTAGGCCGGGAGGAAGAGGTGAGGCCAAGATATGCTTGGAAGGAATCAGAATTCAGTCAAGAAGAATACAGTTATACACTGTGAAGGCTTCCCCTTCTGCTTCTGTTTCTGGCCACTGGGCTTGGTGGCAGCTGTTCTCATCTGGTCACCGTTATGTCCTAGCATCAGAGGGCTACGATTGCAAAGGTGGAATCCAGGCTTCAGGGCAACAGGCCTAAGCTCAAGCCTCTGCTCTGCCTCTTGGCAGCTGAGTGAACCCGGACGTGGCAATTCATCTCTCTGTTAGTCTCCCCTTGTGGGAAATGGCCAAGAGAACGTCCAACGCACAGACGCCCACTAAGAACTGGATGCAAAGATGACTACAAGTGCTTGGCAATCAACAGCAATCGGCAAGAGGTGTCACCATCTGCATCACAGTGAAAAGACTCAGGACACCCAACCCAGGAGGAAAACTGAGCATGCAGCCTACCTCTCCCCAGGGCCTGGATCCCTAGGAATAAAACTTAAAACGAACAAATCTGAACCAGCCCTGGGAAACGAGATCAGCACAGACAAGATGCCTTGAGGCACTGAGGAAAGACCGGAAGTGGAGGGCATCAGGTGGCAGCAGGAGGCGGTGTCCTGGCAGGAGGACATCTGAGTGGGGAATGATTCCAGAGCTGCGGAAGGTGCCAGGCCAGGTGTGCAAGGACGGGAGGAGCCCCAAACAGGCCTCGGAGTAAGGAGCCGGGGTGGCAGGTCAGCTGCCTCAGCCTCCAGGCTGAGTGGGGACAGCAGCAGAGTCATCTTGAGGCTGGTGCAGTGAGACAGGGTCCCGAGGCCAGAGCACCAGGATGATGCCCTGGGAGCGGGGAGTCTTTCTAGCACCCTCTCAGAAATGCTATCCAGCAACAGGCCCCTCCACTCCACATCACAGAAAGACCCCTGCCGTCAGACCAGACAACCACCCACAGCCACATGGGGATCTGTGAGCACATGCAGGGGTGGACAACCAAGAAGCAGCCCATGTTTGAGGAAAACCAATCCCAAGAAAGAGGGGCACCCAATTAAAAAGCAATATGAACCAAACCAGAGGGACCCGAGGAGACAGGGCTAATAGAACAAATGGAAAAACCAATACACAATAAGTAGGCCAAATGCCACGGTAAGGAACCGTGGCACCACCCCCACCTACGGCAGCACAGCCTGAGTGGCGAGCCTAGACCTCCACCCACGCGAGGATGAAATGAGGCGCCCAACCCTGCTGCTGGGGCATGTCAGGAAACAGCAGGTAGGAAGCAGGGCTTTTATCCCCAGCAACCTCAAAAGGGGCCCACTTGCGTGGTGCCAGCAGATATCATGCCATGAGCCTGGTCTTCCAACCACACCCAGCAGTAACAAAGTGTCCGCTCCCTCCCCTGGAGTTGTGTCAGGATGCCTGGTGGAGAGTCAGAAGCCTCACTGTTGCTCACAGTAACGAGGGGACCTGCACTGTGGGGTCATGGGAGGCACACAGGGAGTGGGACCCCCCGCCCCTACTCAGCACTGATGAGGAGCCTTCCCACCCTTGGGTATCAGCAGAGGGTGAATGGGGGCCCTGGACATACCTACATCTGGCAATAATGAAATGGTACCCCTTGTCCTCTGCAGCAACAGTGCCAGAGAGAGCCAGCTGAAACAGAAGGCTGAAATCAGGTATAGCCTCATAACATAATGCGAAAATGTACAGGTTTCAAAGGAATATCACATGTCATTCCAAGAACAACTAGGAAGATCTCAAATGCGTAAAGAAAGACAATCACCGATGCCGACATGGAGGAAACAGGGGTGCTGGAACCATCTGACAAACATTTTATTCATTTTCTTCCTTTTTTTAGGTTTACCTTTTAAAATTACTTTTAAGGATATATTAGTTGTATATTAATAAAGATTTTAAAGAAGCCATGATAAAAATACCTAGGTGAGCAATTACAAATATGCCTAAAACAAATGAAAAAATAGAAAGTCTCAATAAAGAAACCCAAAGTCTCAGCAAAGAAATAGAACATATAAGAGGAACCAAGTAGAATTATTAGAACTGAAAATACAATAATCAAAAAGCTCAGTGGATGGGCTCAATAACAGAACCCACAGGACAGAAGAAAGAGTGAACTAGGAAATAAAAAATATACACATAGAATTACCCAATCTGAACAACATAAAGAAAAAAAATTTTTTAAATATGAACAGAGTATTAGGGACTTGCGAGACTATAACAAAGACCTAAACTTCATGTCACTAGAGTGGACAGGAGGAGAGGAAAAAGGGCCAGGCATGGTGGCTCACACCTGTAATCCCAGCACTTTGGAGGCCAAGGCAGGAGGATTGCCTGTGGCCAGGAGTTCGAGGTTACAGTGTGCTATGATCACCCCACTGCACTCCAGCCTGAGCGACAGAATGAGACCCATCTCAAAAAAAAAAATAAATAAATAAATAAATAAAACAAGAAGAAGAAGAAGAAGAAGGAGAGGAAAAAGAAGTGGGGGCTGGAAAAGTTCTCAAAGAAATAATGGCTAAATGCTCTCCAAATTTGGCAAGAGATATAAACCTACAGATTCACCAAGTTTACTTTCAAGTTTTCTAAATGACATTTGATGGTTGAAGCAAAAATTACAACACTGTCTGATGTGGTTCTAAATGAATGTATGTTTGAGATGTATGTATATTACAAATATAAATGGGAGAGAATATTGGGATATAAAGGAAGGTAAGGCTTCTATACCTCACTCACGCTGGTAAAATGACAACATCCATAAAATTGATTGTGATAAGTTACGTGTGTATAATACCAAGGGAAGCCACTAAAAAAGCTATACAAGAAGATATACTCAGAAACATTATACACCAAGCGAAATTCTAAAAAGTGTTCAAGTAACCCACAGGAAGGCGGAAAAAAAAATAGAGAAACTAAATACAGAGAAAAAAGAAGAGAGAAGTTAAAATGGCAGACTTAACCCCTAATGTACAATAATTACATTAAATATTAACTATCTAAATACAGTAATTAAAATAGATTGGCAAGTGAATCTAAAAACATTGCTAACGTTTGACAGCAGACTGGGGGGCTATAGTTAGCAACAATATATTAAATATTTCAGTGTAGAAGAGAGGACTTGAAATGTTACCAACACATAGACATGATAAATACCCAAGATGACGGATACCCCAAATATCTTGATCATTCTACATTCTATGCATGTAGAAAACATTCACATGTACCTCATAAATATGTAAAATACTGTTTATCAACAAAAGAAAAAAACCAAGAGGCAACTTCTACTATGCTGCACTCTCTAATAAAATTTTTATACAAGAAAAATAAATAAAAACATGGCCCAAATATATGCTATCTACAGGAGACTCAACTCAAATATAACAATATAGGCAGGTTGAAAGCAAAAAGATGGAAAAATATATACCATACAATCATTAATCAAAGGAAAGTAGGAGTAGCTATATTAATATCAGATAAAGTAGACTTCACAGCAAAAAAA